AAACTCGTGAGTCTCCCGACCTCTGCTTGTCTTTTGAAGTCAGAATATGAATTCGTCTAACTGTTGAAGGTTCGTCTTTGCAGATAGTAGTACGAGGTTCGAGCTCAGCAGGAAGGAATTCGAGGTGATAGAGGATATTTACAAGAGGCCTCTGAAGCTTCGCCACTTCGATCACCTGATTGATAGGAGCAGATACTTTCTGGACTTCGAACTGATGGCATCCAGAGGTACGAAGGATGGCATCCAGAGGTATGGGGCTCCAACACTTGATGTTTAACTTGAATGTTTTTTTGTGCTGATGCTAATCTGTGGTGCAGATAAATTCAAGAAGAGGGAGTATCCAGCTCCAGACATGGCCTCTATCTTGAAAGCCACTTCTACTGCAAAGGCGAGGCCCCTGAAGCCCGGGTCCAGTGGAGCAAAGGAAGTTCGAGGCAGAGTTGAGCGCCTGTCGAAGGACTGCACTCCTAGGACCTTGGAGGAGGCATCTACTCAGAGGCCAGAGAAGCCTAAGGAGCCTCGGGGCAAAGAGAAAGTCTCTGAGGAGACTAAGAAGAGGAAGCTGGTGCACATCTCCAGCTCAGCTGGCAAGTTCGGGACTTCAGTGTCCTATAGGACAGAACAGACCGGTGAGCTAAAGCTCCTTGCTGCAGCCTCTAAGGCCATAAAAATGGAGATGGTAAGAGAGGTGGAGGCTGAAGAGGCCAGAGAAGATGCTGCAAGGAGAGCTGCGGAAGCCGCCAAAGAGGAGGCGGCGAAGGAGAGGCCGGTTCGGGAGAAGGGGAAGTCTCCCAACTTCCTAGCTGGGAGGGAGGATGAGTTGGCCCCAGCCTTGGTGGAGGCCCTCCCTGAGGAAATCAAAGGTGCCACCGAGAGCTTTTACAAGTTCTGGACGGAGAGGTGGCAGCTTCATGCCTCGTCCTGTGATGCCACCGACCTTACAAGGGCACTGGTGAGCCAAAGCGCCCGGACCTTTGGACTCGCGCTCGAATGCAGGGAGGCATTAAGTGAAGTTCAGACAAGGACTCACGCCTCAGAGGGGAAGGCTGCCTCCCTTGCAGAGGAGGTCAAAGTTGCTAAGGCCGAGGCCGAAGAGGCCAAAGCACAGAGGGTAGAAGAAGCGGCGAAGCTCGAGTCTGCTTTGGCCCAAATCGAGGCCCTAAAGAGGGAAGTATATGAGTCACAGTGTGAGGTGGCCTCCTTGACAAAGAAGGTGGAGGTCTCCAATGAACACCAGAAAGTGACTGCTGAGGCTCTGGAGCAGGCGAATCTCGCCTTGGCCGGCGCTCGTGATGCCAATCAGTTTCTCGAAAGGCAGGCTAAGTGGTACATGAACGATGCCTCGGCTACCAGAGAAGAGGCCCGAACTGCAGCGGAAGAGGCGGTGAAGGCATACATCGCCAACTTCCACACCACAGAGGAGTACAAAAGCTTCAACACGTACTGGACGAACTTCGCCTATGCCGAAGTGCTGGAAAGGGCGGAGGAGCTTTATCCCAACTCGGACCTGGCACAACTTAGGTCCGAATTTGTGGATGAGGTTCCTCAGACCCCAGCTGAGGAGGTGCACGATGACGAGGCAGCTGATGCTGAAGCCCCAAGTGCTGAGGCAGAGGAAGCAACTACTGATGCCCAAGTTGCTGAACCCCCAAGCGTGGAGGTGGCTCCTCCATCCAGCCAGGCTTAGATTAGGTTTCCTTTTCAGTACTTTGTGTAATGGCCAGCGGCCCTCCTTTGTAATTCCTTTTGAATATTAATACGATGTTTTTCTTCACTAATTGTTGTTCTTTATTCAAGTTTTTGTGCCTCGTTAAACAAGCGGACTAGGAGTTGATTACAGCACAAACTCAATAACCTTAACTTGGTATCTTAACATTAACCAATCAACTGTATGAGCCTCGGACTTAAGCAACTGAACATTACTTAAGGAGATGAACTTGACTGTGTGAGCCTCGGACTTAAGCAAATGAACACAACTGTGTGAGCCTCGGACTTAAGCAACTGAATATTACTTAAGGAGATGAACTTGACTGTGTGAGCCTCGGACTTAAGCAAATGAACACAACTGTGTGAACCTCGGACTTAAGCAACTGAACATAACTTAAGGAGATGAACTTGACTGTGTGAGCCTCGGACTTAAGCAAATGAACATAACTTCAGGTTGCGGCTTCTCCCCTCGGCATTCAGCAAGCAAAAGGGAGGCATGTGCTGGAGCCTCGGAGTTCAAGCGAGATGGCCCATTGGTGGGTCCCGAGCCTCTCTTCCGAGATTACGACGCATCCCAGACATGGTGGATGGTGCAGCCATGTTGAGGCTTCTCTCCTTGGCGTTCGGCAAGGCCAAAAAGGGAGGCATGTGCTAGAGCCTCGGAGTTCAAGCGAGGTGGCCCAGTGGTGGGTCCCGAGCCTCTCCTCCGAGATTACGACGCATCCCAGACATGGTGGATGGTACAGCCATGTTGAGACTTCTCCCCTTGGCGTTCAGCAAGGCTAAAAAGGGAGGCATGCGCTAGAGCCTTGGAGTTCAAGCGAGGTGGCCCAGTGGTGGGTCCCGAGCCTCTCCTCCGAGGTTACGACG